ACTAGACCTTCACATGATCAAATCAAATCCAAATGTATAAACATCTTAGTGACCAAAGTACTTTATACGAATAAAAAAAAAAAAAAACCAGAGCCTAAAACATTTAAAATTTGAAGAATATAAAAAAAATTAAATAAAAGCCAACATCAATAAAAACACAGCCAGGTCTGTAACAGATCCAACATTAAGAGGAAGGTTATTCCACCACAGCAAAGGCACAATCACCGCAGCGTTTATGACAAGACCTCGGTACCTCTAGTAAATACATAGTCGATCTAGGAGCTCTACCTGATGTGTGGCATAGTGTGAGATCACTGAGGTACGGAGCTGCCAGGCAGTTTAAAGCCTTGAAAACATGGAAATGATGAAGACTCGCTGTAAACTCATCCAAAGTAAATAATTATGGAATGAAAGAGAGCAACAAAAACTCAGACACCATCCTAGAAACCGTCTCCTCGTTTGCAGGCAGAACACATGAATAGTCAAAAAGTTCAATGTATTTCCATAATGAGTTTTACTTTTATGCCAATATTTGACTTTTTTCTTTTTTTACATAAGAGTAGGCGTCATCATTTCCACATGCTAAGTTGAAACTTAAGAGATGCAGAGATGGCTTCAGGCCAAAGGGTGCAAGTTTTGCACGAGGGCACACACTGATTCACATGTTTCAGTCCATGATGCGAATCAGTACGGAGAAGAGATAATGAAGCCCCACGTGACAGGAACCTGCCAAGCTGTTAAGAGCTGATACCCTGATCGGTTAGAGTAAATAAAAAATTGATCAGGCCACATCACAGAGACCAGTGGTGCGTTCACTGACCTGACTGCCAAACAGTTTCATCCATCCTTAGGTCTAAAAGCCAAAGAAATGTAGCCTGTATGTTTGGTGCTGACAAACTCTGGTGGTCCAGCATAGATGATGTCCATGTGCTTATTAAGGCCTAAAAGGCCATTTCACCCAAATTATAAGAAACTACAGTCAGTTTTGTGAGCCAAGGTTTTGAAATAGTCCAGTCTCAACATGACTGCTTAAAGTAGGAGTAGTAATGAGCAGAGAGTCAGCAGGATTTTAGTCTCTCTGAGCTCTGGCGCTTTCTAATTTTACATCAGAATCAGAACTGTATTCGCCATGCGCCGACATGCAAGGAATTTAGTACACTACAGTGCGCTCAACTTGGTACACAATCCAGCCAACAATAAAAGTAAAAGAACATACAATCAGAGTAAAATGGCTTTAAATAGGGATAATACCCCATAATAAATAAATTAAACAGAACGAGCCAGTAGTCCACTTAATCAGCATGTCACTCACTGTACCCGTTAAACAGAAGGTTAACTGGCCATGAGACTAACAGCTCAGGGGAAGAAACTTTCTCTGGGTCTAGATGTTTTGACGTACAATACTCTGTAATAGCGTTTATGAGCAAGGTGTGAAGGGTCTGCAGAGACCTTCACTGGCCTCCTCTTGACCTGTGAAATATACAGGTCCTCCATTAACAGATTTAAGCATTTGGTTTGTGAAAACATGCTAGACAGAAAAACCTGGTCCTAGGAGGAATTACATTTCCAATATCACAAATCAGTGTCTCTGAGCCTCCTCTAGAAAACCAACACCCTCAACAACTCTCCTTTTCCATCATATCAAATGGCTGTGTTGCTAGCGGAGGAGGAGGTGGGGGAACTGGTTTCAGAGCAGGATGCATGACAGCTGTCATGGAAACAGATGCCACTTTGTTCATCTCGCCATCTTTGACTGCAACTCCTTCTGTGCTTCCTCCATCGACCTGGTGCCGAGCCCTGTTTCTCCTTGATGCCAGATCAGACAGGAAGCACCAGTGTGAATACTGTCACCGGACTGGGTGAAGAAATCAGTTCATGATAAATGCTGGGGAGAAGAGCAGGGGCCAGGCTCAAGAGTTACTATGTCAATGCCACACACGCTCTGATAATTAAGAGAAGCAAACCAACTCAGGATTTACCAGTCCAGGTCTAAAATAATGATCTGTGAAGTCCTTTACAACGTAATGTGCCGCAGGGGTTCCTCAGTCATGATAGTAGGTCCTAGCGCACAGAACCAGAACATGTGGCGTCACAGCAGCTGAGATGTGATCCCACATGTAATCTCATAAACGCTGACATGGGTGGGACTAAAACGCAAGTGAGGGAAACATGGATGTAACTAGGGAATTAGGACTTGCCCATTGACTTGTATGAGGCCTTGGCAACTCACACATGAGTTCTGGAAAAATTTGACAAAAAATGTGTACCTTTGTTTGCGTATGCAGATGTAATTATGTACAGACACAGTATGTGCATCTTTGTGTGTTTTTGTCATTTTAATATTTTGCAAATGTCAAAAAAGAACATTTAGACATCTTTGCAACAATCTCAACAAATCTAATATGACATCGGTGACAGAGACATGACCTCGAAGCCCACCAAAGTCTACATCACACAACTCAGACATGACCTCAGCAACATCACACATGAACTTGGTAGCTCAGACACCAGTGACTTGTAAGTGGCCCCTAGAGCTCTGACCTGACCTCAGCAACTTTAACATCAACAGGGTGATTTGGAAATAGCCTCAGCAACATTGACATGAGCTTAACAAGACCTGCACAACTGAGAGATGAGCTCAGGGCCTCAGCTTGAACATCACACTGTAACTAACCTTAGCAATTCAGAAATTATCTGGGAAATTCAAACATGCCATCAGCAACTAGGACATGAACTCTGCAACTCAGAGCTGAACTTAGCAACCACAGACACAACGTGTCATCTTGGGCTTAAATGACTTGACCACAGCGCCAACACAGTCTGAGCATATTTTCTGTCAAGCAGCTGCATGAAGTTTTCGTTCCTTCCCCATCAGCACTGCGAGAACTTTAGCAAACATCCCCCGCTCAGCGTCAGACGATTTGTGGTGTCAGAGAGTTATTCAACCCCAGCACAGCATGCTGGTTTATTTTAGACACCACTGGTCTAAAAATTGACAAAACCTCCAGCTGAAATGTGAGCAGGATGTTTCTAATGTCCGCTTTGTTAAGTTTCTTTACAGTTTGCTCAGTCTTCCTCCCCTCCAGCAGGGCAGTGGCGGACTGATGCCAGAGCTCAGTCTGCTGCCGGAGCCGTGTGTGCGTGTTGAGGAGGAGTGTTAACAAGGCTCAGCCAGCGAGGAGGTGAAGCTGCTGCAGGACGACCTTTGACCTCCAAAAGGCGCTCTCTCTCTCTCTCAGACTGGGTTGCCCCTGGCAGGGTTGCGGTGCCCCACGCTTGCCGCAAGGCAATGGTCAAGGTCAAAGTGAGGAACCCAGAGCCTACGTTCCACAGTTTCCAACATCGACACCAACCAATCGACCAGCTGCAGGAGGACGGAGGAGGGAGAGCAGGATGAGAGCGAGGGAGGAGGAGGGAAGAGTCTAATTTCTCTTTCTCTCTGGTTCCATCAGCAGAAACAAAGCTGAAGATAATTTTTTACAAACGCATACAGTGGGTCTGCCAGAGGCATGGAGACAACGAGCAGTGGAGGAGGAAGCATTCCGATACTTCACTGAAGTAAAAGCAGCAACACAACAACAATAGTCCGTTACAAGTCCAACTCGAAAACTTACTTAAAATTACATAAGTATCAAAAGGAAAAAACTCATTTGCTCATTTGACGATGCTGTGCTCTACACATACGTTGTTTTTAGAGATTAGTGATGTATTATTGTGGAAGTAGCCTTTTACTGCTGGGCCTGGCTAAGATGGAGCCAATTTCACCTGCTTTACACAAAGGAAACCGAGTTTATCAAACGTCTCTACATAACTACATCCTGAAAACCTTATTTTACTAAATCAGGTGAACACTACTGCTAACCATTTGTTTAAAATGCTCTGTCTTTTGTTTGAATAAGACAAAATGAACCAAACTTTGTTTTAGAGGATTTAAAATAGGCTGCATGCAGTATCTTTGGAACTTCAAGTTTAAACATATCACCGAGTTCCACTAATTAATATGTCATATATTAATATTGTATCAACCCTATAAAAGGTGTCACTTGCAAGTCTGAATGATCACGACTCTGCAGCTCTCTGACGCGTTTTGGCTTTAATACCATCTTACAGCACATTTGCTGTGTAGTTCATTGTCAGCTCTGTTGTCAGCCTTGTTTCCTGCTGCAACAGCAGGCAGTTGTTTTCAAACGAGCCAATTTAACATCTGTATCTGTCACTGTCCCACTGGGAGGTTTTGTTTTAGGCCTGCCCAGTATGAGATGGCAGGGGGTCTACTTTCAACTGAGCTTATCTGACAAAGCAGGAAAAGCATTTTCCATAATAAATGAGTATTTATAATAAGAATGTTTCTGACTGACACACAGATAAATGGAGTACTTCTGCCCGTAAGGGCAGCTTCAAACACTTAATATTGTTTAACTGCTCTAGAGCCTGTTTATCAAACTGGGAGCAGACATTTCCCAGTTTAATTTTGTGGCAGAACAACTGGATTATTTGGATTCAGATCCAGACCCAAATCGCTCTCAATTCAATTTCACTGTAATAAAATCTATTTATGTAGTTTGAGAACAGTATTCTGCAGGCGATAACATGAATGAGACAAGCTGCGTCAGATGTGTCAATCAGCATTCAGGGAGCTCCTTAAATAAATCCTAAACTCTCATGGATGTGTCATCTGTGTCTGGGCTCAAATGATGACCTGGAGCCCCTCCTGCTGGATGGCCGGCTGTATTACAAACAGTGAATCATTTCTGCACTTGTCTGAGAAATCAAACTAAAACCGCACCACCCTTCCTTCCTGCCCAGTACTTCCTTGTGAAATTGTATTCTCATATCTCCCTACAATCCCTTACCTCTGTCCAAGCAGCTTTCCTCAGTCTCTCATCCCTACTCTGTCTTCACCCCTTCTCTATCTCCTCTAAAAGAAAAATATAAGAACCGCTAGGAGAAACCTCATATTGAATGACATCCTGCTGCATAACAAAGCACAAAACAGGTGGTTACAGCTGAAACTTAGAACTTTATTCTCACCAGAAACAAATTAAAATCAACATTCAAAGAAACATTTACAAGCACAGTGTCCCCCCCCCCCCCCCAAGCAAAAACAGATCTGTTGAGAGGGAAAACAAACCTCTGTATCAAAGCAGACTAGCTGCTAAGCCAGAGAACGAGTCCTGCAGCAGAGCTCTTTAACAGAAATCGTCTTCATGCTGCAACGGCTTCTCTGCTCCTTCTCTCGACAATCTGTCAGCCTCCTCGTTGCCTCTGTAGCCAGCGTGACCTGGAATGTGTATCTGGAGGATGAGGTGGAAGGAGAGGAAGAGTGGGAGAGAAGGTAAAAATGTAAAGATGATGGATCAGAGGTCATCTGCTCTGCAGATGAACTTCTGCAGTGTTTAGTTTTCTTTGCCATCTCCTTTGTTTCTTCACCTCATAAGACCGACACATTTATGTCAAATGATGGTCACTGCAATTTTGTGTTTGACTGGTAAATAGTGTTGACATCAGTGGCATCCAACTCATAATTACAATGTGGAAGCTTAAGAATAAAGAGGTTCCTGAAAATCCAAATACATATTATTACCTCAAATGAAAACGAGGTCCACTGTTTAGAGAAATTCAACCCAAACATGACTATATTGTTCTTTTTTTTTCTTTTTTACACTCACATCTGTATTCAGACAACAGTCTCAAGTTATCCAGAGATGTGGACACCCACAAAACACAGACAGGGTAATGTTTCCCAACCATCCATCTCGCATGTCAAAGAGATAAACCCGTTCACCTCACAAACTGTGTTCTGTAATTACATGGTGCTGATCCTGCTGTATTCACCAAGTCTCTCTTGAAATGAGATTTATAAGTTCAATAGGACCTCACCTGGTTAAATAAAGGAAACTGAATGCATGCTTAAACTTACATTATTATGTCTGGGGGTAAAAGGCCAATACAAAAATGAGGGAGCTAGTAGTGTACACATTTGATTTCCTTGGTGAGTAATTCACCTGCTAAACCATTTACAGTGGTGTGAAAAAGTGTTTGCCCCCTTACTGATTTCTTATCTTTTTGCATGTTTGTCACACTGTAATGTTTCAGATCGTCAAACAAATTTATATATTAGTCAAAGATAACACAAGTAAACACATCATGCAGTTTTTAAATGAAGGTTTTTATTATTAAGGGAAAACAAAATCCAAAACTATATAGCCCTGTGTGAAAAAGTGTTTGCCCCCTAAACCTAATAACTGGTTGGGCCACCCTTAGCAGCAACAACTGCAATCAAGCATTTTCTTTGGGACTGCAGCGAACCACAGTGAGAGCCATTATCCACAAATGGCGAAAACATGGAACAGTGGAGAACCTTCCCAGGAGTGGCCGGCCGACCAAAATTACCCCAAGAGCGCAGCGACAACTCATCCAAGAGGTCACAAAAGACCCCACAACAACATCCAAAGAACTGCAGGCCTCACTTGCCTCAGTTAAGGTGAGTGTTCATGACTCCACCATAAGAAAGAGACTGGGCAAAAATGGTTTGCATGGCAGAGTTCCAAGACGAAAACCACTGCTGAGCAAAAAGAACATAAAGGCTCGTCTCAGTTTTGCCAGAAAACATCTTGATGATCCCCAAGACTTTTGGGATAATACTCTGTGGACAGACGAGACAAAAGTTGAACTTTTTGGAAGGTGTGTGTCCCATTATGTGTGGCGTAAAAGTAACACTGCATTTCAGAAAAAGAACATCATACCAACAGTAAAATATGGTGGTGGTAGTGTGATGGTCTGGGGCTGTTTTGCTGCTTCAGGCCCTGGAAGACATGCTGTGATAAGTGGAACCATGAATTCTGCTGTGTACCAAAATATCCTGGAGGAGAATGTCCGGCCATCCGTTTGTGACCTCAAGCTGAAGCGAACTTGGGTTCTGCAGCAGGACAATGATCCAAAGCACACCAGCAAGTCCACTTCTGAATGGCTGAAGAAAAACAACATGAAGACTTTGGAGTGGCCTAGTCAAAGTCCTGACCTGAATCCAATTGAGATGCTGTGGCATGACCTTAAAAAGGCAGTTCATGCCCGAAAACGCTCCAATGTGGCTGACTTACAACCATTCTGCCAAGATGAGTGGGCCAAAATTCCTCCACAGCGCTGTGGAAGACTCATGGCAAGTTATCGAAAACGCTTGATTGCAGTTGTTGCTGCTAAGGGTGGCCCAACCAGTTATTAGGTTTAGGGGGCAAACACTTGTTCACACAGGGCTCTATAGTTTTGGATTTTGTTTTCCCTTAATAATAAAAACCTTCATTTAAAAACTGCATGATGTGTTTACTTGTGTTATCTTTGACTAATATATAAATTTGTTTGACGATCTGAAACATTACAGTGTGACAAACATGCAAAAAGATAAGAAATCAGTAAGGGGGCAAACACTTTTTCACACCACTGTATTTAAAATAAGTGAATATGATTTTTACCAACTGTTTTCTTACAGTAAGGGCCCTCAGTGAGAAAAATCCCAGAACTGGATTCATGACAATACGACTCCAGTGCCAGATGTTATTTACCCAGACAACCTCCAGCTCCGCGTTCAGTCTATCCAGCTTCACAAAGTCGTCTTTGTTGATCACCTGACCTCCAGATTTCAGCCTCCAGTCATTCAGCTTCCAGTTCTTTATCCACTTGGTCACACCTGCAGCACACACACACCACAAACTTCAAATTCAGCGTCTACTACATTCTAAAGTCGACACGTGTTGGGGAGTAACAAAGCCTTTGGTCAGAGTTAGACTGAGCAGGTTTCATGTTCAGAGGTCCAGTCGGGTTTTAGAGCCAACTAACCATTGATGGTGAACTGGCTGTCAGTGTAGAGGACCAGCTTCTTGATGTTCTTCTCTTTGGCTTGTTCCAGTGCTTTGCAGGCTGCCTGGTTATATACACACACACACACACACACACAGTGAGGGCCATCAACCTGATTGTGTCTATTAACACACTATTTGACTTGTGCATGAACCACAAAGTCTGTACATTTCTTTAAATATGTACAGTGTCTGGAGTTAACAGACCTTTGCAAGTCCAACAATTTTTTCCTACTTTTAAAAATTTACATTTGTAACGAAGAAGTTCTGAAAAGGCGTCAATAGTGATTTAGTTTTGGCGCCAAAGTTGTGGATGTGATCCAAGACTCGCTCTGTTGGAATAAGAATTTAAAAGAGGCTTATTATGTAAAATAATTCCTGCTCTTGGTTTAGTAAAATGAAACAGCAGCCTTTTGGGACACGTTGACATGTGATGAGAGATGTTTACCTGTATTTCTGCGCGCTGGTTGGTTTGTCTTCCCTGCAGCCGCTCTGCAGCGTTTCTACAGGAAAGCAACAGCAACAAGTGTGACATATTACTGTACTTACACTGATCACATGCACATTCATCTTAATAAACATACTGTATATATATATATAAGTGTGCATCTATATTTACTAATACTGTATATATAAGTGTGCATCTATATTTACTCACAGTGGATGGTTCTGGCCCCAGTACACCCCGATTCCAGCTCTAGCTCCCTTACATCCATTAGCTGAGCAGCAACCATCGGTGTACACAACCACAGCATCACCTGGACACAGGGAGAACAGCTGAGACTCCAGAGGCTTCCAGAGTTTATGCCTCTATTTCACATTTACAACAGGTGTTTACTAGTAGCTCACTAAATCCATTTACAGATTTAATAGCCATACAACACAAGAAATGCCTCCACAGCAGAATTTATATTTCACATTTTTGCAGACTTTGGACTATCTTACCCATGTATGTGAATCCATCTGTGTTTTCTGAAGATGAACTTTCTGCCTGTTTGACTCGTTTTGGAGGGGACACAGCCTCCTCATCTGACTGACGTCTCTTTTTACCAAGAGGGATATACTCCAGAGGCTCTGGACCTCTTTTAGGAAGAAGAGCGACAGCTGACTCCAAATTCTGAGCTACTGAGAGACAAAAGGAAAAAAAACACAACTTGTTTTTGCAACTTAAACTTGGAAAGTGGCATTTTATAGTTTCCCTCTGTCTTATTTAATGATTGTAAAGAGAGATTCAGGGCCCCGTATATCGCTACATGGTGGTTATCACACATCTGCTTCTAAGAAGGCTGAAAATACAAAATGTTCAGATGGTAGGAATCTTCATAGTGACCTACAAGCTGGGAAAAAAATGATATCAGGCAGGTGTAATGTAAAACAAAACATATCGGTGTAGGACTGGGATATGTAGTATATGGTCTTGGATCACAGCAAGGAACAACTGAGTTCAGTGTTTTTCTCAAAGATAGCAGAACTGAACCTATAACCGTTGATGGATTAATTTGATGCTGGGATCAACACTAACAACCTTTTTAATGGCGGGGCTTTCTCAGAGGAGCCCCTGCTCAAGGACTGGTTGTCTAGAATCAGTCAGGGTTTTCTTAGTGGTTGTACAGAAGAAAATCTTTAAGCCAGCCTGGACAAACTTACCACTCTTTACCTCCGGCGCTGCAGAAAGTCCAACACCTCTGACAAAGGCCCAGGCATCCCTCTCTGATGCAAACTTCTTGAAAGAGGCAGATGGAAATTTCTCCACCTGGCTCTTACATTCATCCCTAAAATCACAATAAAAACAGGAAAATAATGACCAGTAATTCCTGAAATCTGGAAAGGAATGTTCAAAATTTCTTAGATTATAAATTCAAACATTATCCCTGATCACATACTGCCTATTCTCTACAGATACAGTGCTGAACATTTCTCTGGATTAGTACAGATTGTGTGATAGCAATATGTGGTTCTACAGCTTTGAAGCTCTTTACCCTTTTATTTGATAGCCCACAAACGATAAAAAAGTTGCAATATTATATCTTTGTTTTTCAACATCACACAAATCTTAATGAGTCTTACAAATCATTTAGATTTTATGATAAATCTGTGATAACATATTCCATAAAACACTGTCATCTAGTCGTGGTAAACGCTGCCCAACATGCCTTAGATTGGCTATTTAAGGAAGAAACAAAATAAGCCGTTATGTTCTATGCCGAATTAAAGCGTGGACACTCCTGATTACAGAATGTTATTAAATAATATTCTAGCCGGCGTGGTGTTTTACTTAAACTCAAATAAACATTAAATAATCAGACATCTTTATGGAGATTGGCATGACGTCTTTTCCCATTAAAGAACGTGCACTTTGCTAGGTCAATTATTTTGATTTTCTAATAAATACATGTGCTGACATTAAGATGGACAGTCTCACCATGAATTGTAGACTCCCGGTTTGAATCCCTTCCTAACAGCGTAAAAAAACTTGGCCTTCGCCATGTCGGCGGCGGTGCAGAAAGCCGTCCTGGTTGCTGTCCTAAAAAGACCAGTCCATTTAAACATCAGTATTTGCCACGGAATTGTCGTCAAATGTAGGTGGCCAACATTGCGGTCCTGACTCAACGCAATAACATATCATTAAATCACACTGGTCAATGTGTGTTTTCCTGTGAATGCGTAAAAATGTAGGAAACCATATAACCGTTACGTGTAGAGCCAGTGAAAGACGCCAAAACTAGCTAGTACTAGGTACTCTGTCCCTAGTCTACTTCCACTGACTCACAAAGGAAAAGCCAAACTGCTCACAATAAACATAGAAAAGTGTAAGAGATGTTACAATGCTATGTATGGAATTAAGAGTTTTCTTTAGTCTAAGAAAATGTTATATCAAAGAAATCCCGAGGTTGATGAGCACCAGTTAAATACGTGATCTCACAAACTCTCGCGAACTTCAAATGCTGCATTTATAGTCACTTTTAAAATGCGTTCACTTAAGTTTCGCCTCAGACATACATAACATTTTGTAACTAATTATACTCCCATTTGGTTTAAATGTTTACAGAAGCGCAACAAACAACACCGTAAAAGTGCCAAATTTTAGCTAGCACAAAGCACCACAAAATAATTCATGAACACGCAAGTTGGATAAGTGGCATTTTTCCCATTCTGCCGACATTGCATGAATTCACCATGATCACCACGCGAGAGCTGTGCTGTAAGTCCAACACGGCTCTCGCGACAGCAGTATGGCTCTCTCGCATTGGATTAATTCTACTCTCGCGATGATCCGGCCTCTTCCTTGGCCGTCATTGACAAGGTTGGTTGTGCTATATTTTACTGTCCCGGATTTTCTACTCCAAAATGTGTTTTAGTTTTATTTACTTGTTAAATTTACATACCGTAATACACCTTAAGTCTCTGATACCTTAGATTGTGTAGTTTGCGGCGACGGATGGCTGTTTTATAACACAAAATAAGGTGTAGTAGAGTGGCTCCAGCTGAATGGGTTCTGGTTGTGGGGAGCAGTTAGCAGGCCGTGCATGTGTTCAGAAAGCAGCTAGAGGATTGACTGGAGAAGGTGGTGGATTGAAGATATTAAGCTCTGTGTATGGGTCGTTTTATGTAAAATTAAACAAATTGCTACTGGTTGTCACATAAAACTCCCCAGCCAAATTCTAGCAGAAATAAAAGACTACCGGCTAAGTTATGTTAGCCAGCCAGCGTTCCTTATAACTCAGAGCCAGCTTATTCTAACTAATTTGTAGTTTGTTTTCACCAGCTGACAGTCTAGTTTTTGTCTTTTCGGGCTTTGGGTTTGCGTGTGTTTGCCTGTAAGCGACAAATTTTGTTTCCTATATCGTTTAAGGCAGTGATGGGGTTTGCCTTGAGCTGTCGCACCTTTGGCCCAGCGCGGTTCTTGCTGGTTTCTGGAGCTCCTTTAGGACTCGTACTGCCAGTCAAGTGTTTTAAAGGAGGCTAAGTTGCGAGGCTACTTTAGTGTGTAACCCGCGTTTGTATTTGTTTTTCCAGAGACAAAGGCCATGTTCAGTACCAGCGCCAAAATAGTGAAGCCCAATGGCGAGAAGCCAGACGAGTTCGAGTCTGGGATCTCCCAGGTGAGAAAACCAGGTGCTACGTAGGTTTCATTTAAAGCGGTGTGGAGAATTTAAAGTGTGATAATGTATGTTACAGTGGGTATTGTATAAAGTCATGCAGTGCCTTTGACTTGCATTAGCATGAAGTGCAATAGGTATTGAGACAATATACAGAAGATGCACTAGCTACATTTATGTATTTATGCTTTCAATTAATCCCAATATCAGATTTATACTGGCACATGAGATTTTTTTTTTCTCTCACAGAAACCAATTTAACCTAAGTTTTATCCATTAAAATTATGGTTAATTGTTTTGGTTTTGCAGTCAAAGTGGGTGAGTTCCTTTATAGTAGTACAAATGCAGGTCCTTCATGCTGTTTTTCACGTCACCTTGCAGGCTCTTCTTGAACTGGAGATGAACTCTGACCTGAAGGCTCAGCTGAGAGAGCTAAACATCACTGCAGCAAAGGTAGAAACATACAGGAATCTGCCAGCAAAGCTGTCCACTCATCTCTGTCTACTTTGTACTTTATATTACCTTTCATAAAAAGCTAACTGTCTTGGTACTGTGCTGCTAGTCCCAGTTTTTAAGAAACCTGTGTTTACAAGTTAGTTACCAGAAAATGTTGAACTTTAAGTCCGACGTGGACACCCAGCGAGTTGCTCTCCTGGCTCTGTCCTGGTGGCGTATGGGAGCGTAGCTCTGAGCAGAGACGTCCAGTCCCGTTCCACAACGTCGGAGAGAAAGCTCTGTCCCCGGCTACTGCTCGGTGAGGACGGGCGTCCTGCATATTCCTACATCTTCCCAGAGTCCTTTGGGGCCATTACTGGGGAGCTAAACCATGCAGTGCACACTACTAGTCATCAGAGTTTGAGGGGTGCTAGTGTTTGTGTTGTAACATTTATATTGTAATGTTTTTCTCTGTCGATTTTTAAGTCAAACTTTAACAGTTGAGAATAAATCCTTCCATTCACCAGACTTTTCAGCCAGTTGTACTTTAGGACTTGTACATGGTGACTGGTTACCAGCAGAGAAGATGAATTTAAGTAGGCAGTCATTTTGTGTATATAAGAAGCAAAAACATCAGTGTCTCTTTTTCGTCCCATCACCTTTGTTCTGTTTTTCTTTTCAGGAAATTGAGGTTGGTGGCACCAGGAAAGCCATCATCATCTTTGTTCCCGTTCCCCAGCTGAAGTCCTTCCAGAAGATTCAGGTGCGTCTGGTCAGGGAGCTGGAGAAGAAGTTCAGCGGAAAGCACGTGGTCTTCATTGCACAGGTAAGGAGGGTGATTCAGTCCACTTTTTACTTGGGATTCAGTGCTGCAGGGTCACAGGGGTCCTGTCCAACAGTCCACATATATTTTATGGACTAGCTGGTGGCTACTGACCTTCTCTGCACCCTGTGCTGGATTCAGGGGTAGAATACAGGGAGTAGGGGTAGGTTTGTGTTAATACAGGAGTGAAAGCTGTTTGGTGTCTGCCTTCATAGCTATAGGAGGGTGAGCTTGTTCTCCAGTTTGCACTGGCTGACAACTTCTTTTTGGCAAAAACTTGAATGAAATAAGTGCAGTAAGCATTATTAGTTTATACATCCACTTTCTGATGCTTGTTCAGGCTTATGTGATAAATGCATTATTGCTATATACCACTGGGAAGCACTTAAAAATGTGATAGCAAATAATAAGACATGTTGTTCATCCTTTCATACTTACGATAGGTATTACATTTCACTGTGTTGCATTACAAAAGGTCTCAAAGCGTAAAGTGTAACTGGGCTCTGCAGAAACATTGCTCTGAGATCTGCCTGCTCTTACTGATCACGCCACAGCTAAAGTTGTTAATTCAGATTTTCAGCTCAATTGAGAGGAGGACACTGAGAAACTTCTCCTACAACCATACAGCACCTTGGATTATTACAAATGTCATCACTAAGCTTTAAAAGGGGCCGTTTGTGTATTGTTTACACAAGTGGCACACAGCTGTTTGATGTTTTAATTGACCTGGAAAAACCATGTGGAAAAGAATAAAGCACTTGCATGAATCAGTTAGGAGACAGAAGAATGGAGGTTGTATGAAATTAGTGGGTTGTGTGAGTTTGTCCGACGTGGACACCCAGCGAGTTGCTCTCCTGGCTCTGTCCTGGTGGCGTACGGGAGCGTAGCCCTGAGCCAAGACGTCCAGTCCCGTTCCACAACGTCGGAGAGAAAGCTCTGTCCCCGGCTGCTGCTCGGTGAGGACGGGCGTCCTGCATATTCCTACATCTTCCCAGAGTCCTTTGGGGCCATTACTGGGGAGCTAAACCATGCAGTGCACAAACTCTGTTCAAGGACCCAAATTATCAGTCTGGCTTTAAATTGTTTGTTTTTTTCCCCCTCCTTGAATCATGACTTTAAAACAGTTAATGTTGCATTTAAATGTCGATGAATCCTGACTAGAGATTAATCAGATGATGTTCTCGACTTTCAGAGGAGAATTCTGCCCAAACCCACAAGGAAAAGCCGCACAAAGAATAAGCAGAAGCGTCCCAGGAGGTGAGTAGAAACTCTCTGTTGGCAGTTGCACAGGTTTGTTGCTGTTCGAGAAAAGATCAGGAGCTGGCCCGATGTTGGTGAACACCATTAAGATGGCTGTGGCTTTGTTTTTACTGCCCATCTGCTCTGAACCACTGTAGTACAGATCGGGGTGTTTCAGGAGAAACGAACCACGTGGTTGGGTAGTGAGCTCTTTATTAGGTACACCTGTACAGTTAAATACAGTCCAGTACAACAGCCCTGTGGTAACATCAGTCTTTATGAAGCTCATGTTGCAGTTTTTGCTGAAATTGTTGGAAATGTATAAATCGTATTATGTTTTAGGTGACAGGTAAAGGTGGTGCTGTACTGGGCTGCATTATTATTCAGAGGTGTTCCTAATATTCTGATTTCCTCGTATGAGAAGGACAAAATAAGAGACACCACCAAATATTCATAATGATCTCATAGGGGCTGATTCTCCCAGCGGGTGCACTCAGTTCCAGCTTAATGTAACCACTGTGCTGAGGGATACTCAATACTGTACGATGGGGTTGACATCACCAGCCTCCTGTCTGACGCCACAGCTGCTCGAACCTGAATACTAAACTGTTGATACTGCTTGTATTACTTCAGTGCTGCAGCTGATTGTCAGTTGACGGGGAGTGAATGAGACAGTTGTGATGTGAAATGTGAACCTGGTGTGTGTCCGACGTGGACACCCAGCGAGTTGCTCTCCTGGCTCTGTCCTGGTGGCGCATGGGAGCGTAGCTCTGAGCAGAGACCTACACCTTCCCAGAGTCCTTTGGGGCCATTACTGGGGAGCTAAACCATGCAGTGCACAAACTTTGTTCAAGATTTGTCGTGACTCAGAACCCAGATGTGAAACGATTGCATGCTTTGATATTCAGTGTGTATTTGTACCTGATGACGATCTAGTTTGGGCCCATACTTAACACATTCTACTGATCAATCTGAGCACTGATCAATAGTTTGGTCTATAAAATGCAGACAGATGCCCAGCACTGTTTCTTAAAGCTAAGACTGTCTTGACATATTTAATTGAGAGTTGCACCAACCAGTTAATTTAGTGATCGGCAGAAAATTAAGCAATGATGATTTTGATAACTGATAAATCATTGAAGTCACTTTTCCAACCAAAATGTTCACTGGTCTCTGGTTCCAGCGTCTCAGACGTGAGAAGTTGCTGCTTTTCTTTGTGTTGCAGTGTCCCAGATGGAGCATCTTTGAGTTTAGGAACATTGGCTGAAAAACTAGTAAAATGGTGAAATTAAAATGAGGATTTTCCTGTTTCCTGATACTTGGTAGATCATTTGAGTCAATGATCTGCAGATATTCTGATAATGGAGAGAATTGTTAGGTGGGGCCCTGACTGAATTTAAAATGTGTAAAACAGGAACATGACAGCACGTCACATTTGAGAAGCTGAGAGCTGGCAACATTTACCCTTGATTGACTGCAGATTGATTTGTTTACTGGCTTATCAATTAGTCTGCTGTGAGCTTAGGCCCCTGAGGTTGTTTGGTGTTAATGTGGTTGTTGCTCGTCCTCCAGCCGTACTCTGACCGCGGTCCACGACGCCATCTTGGAGGACCTGGTGTTCCCCAGCGAGATCGTGGGTAAGAGGATCAGAGTGAAACAGGACAGCAGCAGGCTCATCAAGGTCCATCTGGACAAGGCGCAGCAGAACAACGTTGAACACAAAGTAAGTGACGGAACAGGTGCAGTAAACGTGTCTGGATGTAACACTGAGGAGCCGATATAGTTTGTGTCTGACGTGGACACCCAGCGAGTTGCTCTCCTGGCTCTGTCCTGGTGGCGTACGGGAGCGTAGCCCTGAGCCAAGACGTCCAGTCCCATTCCACAACGTCAAAGATAAAGCTCTGTCCCCGGCTGCTGCTCGGTGAGGACGGGCGTCCTGCATATTCCTACATCTTCCCAGAGTCCTTTGGGGCCGTTACTGGGGAGCTAAACCATGCAGTGCACAAACTCTGTTTAGGATCTTTCATACTTTGGTGACTGCCTTTACTTCGCAGGTGGTGAACTCAATGTGACTGGGGTTAAATGATGAGTTCACTGACAAAGTGTCATTTGAACTGATTCTGAAGAAATATAAATAAATAGTTTTGATGGTCTGAATTAGTTGGCAGGTCAATCAGCAGAAGTCATCACTGACAATTACACTAAGAGCAGGACGTTTAGAAACGCTGAAGGAGCAGCTCCACAGAATAAGTTCTTAGTTCTCTTCTTTAATTATGAAACTGTCGTCTCAACCGTAGCAGTCAAATCAGTCAAGCCGCTTGTTACACCAATAAATAAAACTGTTGTGACCGAAGTTAATGTTCGTTTCCCGTCATCTTTCAGGTGGAGACCTTCTCTGGTGTCTACAAGAAGCTCACAGGCAAAGATGTCATTTTTGAATTCCCAGAATTCCAGCTGTAAATGCAGATGACAAAATAAATTTGTTTACTGTCAGCGGCGTTTGGTGGTTGTCTTTCTGCTTCCTGGTCGGTGTCTGGCACCATAGGTTGACCTTATACTTTGGTTGTGTGGGGCGCCACCCTCAGGCCAAGGTTAGAGCTTCTTCAGGTTACTGGTGTGTAATGAGCACTGCAGCCTCACTGGACTGAGTCTTGTTTAATTTAAAATTATTGAGCTCTAATTTGCTGTGACAGTAGAAGCAATGTTTTACTGCAGGAGATTATCAATAGACAAAACAAGTTAAATACAAAGGAATAACAAAAACCTGTACAGAGGAGCCCAAAACATGTCACCACACTTCTCCAACTCAGCAGGCAATGGACCATCAACCTGCCAGCGCCGGCCCACTGTTGGGGCCGTGCATTCAGCTCGGTCTGGTTATGACATTGAAGCATTTAGCAGGAGGTAACAGCTGAACAGTTCACAGCTTTGTCTTTTGGCAACTATATAAGTGCATGATGACTACACA